TATATATATGTCTGTCCCTGGCTTCTACTCCACCAAATCCATCTGAAGAAGCAGACTGAAGTCTATGAAAGCTCATGTTGCCCATTTCTTTCTTTCAATTAGCCTCAAAGGTGCTACAAGATCTTCCAAAGTTAGTTCTCCTTTCAGGTGGATGTATTGATGTTACAAATAAGTGGATGGGGGTTGCTGTTGAGAAACAGCCTACCTAACCTGAAGAACCAGTCAACTGGACAGAAATTGTAGATGCTCATAAGCCTGCATGTGTGTAAACACCTTCAAGTCATCTGAGGACTTAAGTTGACCTCATGAATTTCCATAGTGTTTTTTTAGGCAAGGAGTACTCAGAGGTTGTTTGCCAGTTCCTTCCTCTGAAATAGTCTATAGCACCTGGTATTCATTTCAGTCTCCCATCCAAGTACCAACTATGGCTGACCCTGCTTAGCTTCCAAGATCAGACAGGATCTGATGACTTTAGGATATTAAGTGGTCTGAATCAATGGATCCACCTATAACTCTCTAAATTCAACCCAGTTAAGATTTTGTACAGTGTTGTTAAATCTCTGTTATTAAATTATCCCATTGCAGGAGAAAGGCAGGTTGTAAATTAAATCGTATATTTAGAATCACTGACACATTTTTTTTGTCAATGCATTTTAATTGACTGAAAGCTACACCACTTACTACACTTCTAACATGTGTTGTTGTGCGCCTTCAAGTTGTTTCCAATTTATGTTGACCCTAAGGTGAACCTAACATAAAATTTTCTGAGGGTGAGAGTGTGTGACTTGGCAAAGGTCACCCAGTGGGTTTCCATGGCTGAGGAGGGATTCAAACCCTTGTCTCCAGAGTCTTAATCCAGTGCATGAACCACTATGCCACAGTGGCTCCCTTCTAACTTGCAGGTGGTTAAATAAATAATGTAAAAGGGTAGCTGTATGTGCCTTCAAGTTCCCTGTTGGCTCATGGCGACCCCATAAATTTCATAGGGTTTTCTTAAGCAAAAAATATCAAAGATGGTTTTGCCAGTTCCTTCCTGAGAAATATAGCTAACAGCACCTGTTATTGGCTGACAATCTCCTTTCCAAATATTAGACAGGGCTGATCCTGCTTAGCTTCCAAGATCAGATAGGATCTGGTGCCTTTAGGGTATTTACAGTAGGCAGAGACTGCATTAAATGATCTGGAGGATGAATTCCAAAAGATGACACCTAAAAAAAAAGTAACTAGCAAAGTATAACTTAACATTTTCTACCATCTTTTAACTAGCAGATAGGCTAATTAAAGGCAGAAGTTGGGTTTACTTTTAAGCTTCCAAAGTGTTTTTGAATGTAGAGTGTCAGGGGCCTTTCACACTACACATTTATAGCACTATGATTCCATTTTAACTGCCATGCTTCCATCCTATGGAACTCTGGGATTTATAATGGGGGAGTATTTAGGATTTTAAGTCATAGAGCTCTAGTGGCTTACTGAATTACAAATCCCAGGATTCCATTAACAGCCATGCAATTAAAATGGAATCATAGCATTATAGAGTGGACTCTTGGCGTTTGCTGGGGTTTGGTTCCAGGACCCCCACAGATATCTGTGGATGTTCAAGTCCCATTATATACAGTGGTGTAGTAAAATGGTGTTCCTTTTATAACTTGGCAAATCAAGGTTTGTTTTTTGGAATGTATAAATATATTTAAATACTTTCAAACTGCGGATGGTTGAATCCGTGAATAAGGAATCCGTGGATACTGAGAGCCGACAGTAATTGGTTTGATATGGAGTGAGTATTGTGGTTTCAGTGTTTGTAATTTTATATTGTTTTTATGTAATGTTTTAATTGTTTTATTGTAATAAATTTTTAAAGTGTTTTTTTATTATTATGAGGCACCTTCGGTCCCTTTCTGGGAGAAAGGCAGCATAGAAATTAAATAAATAAAAATAAATAAATTGTGTTGTGTGAAAGGGCCCCTTTATTAATGTGTGATTTAGAGGTGATAGGACCAATAAATGACTTCATTTTACAAAAGGGAGCAATAGGAGTACAACCAGCCCTCTGTATCCACGGATTCAGCTATCCACAGCTTGAAAATATTAAAAATATACTGTGGACCTTCCACATTGGCTGCGGTTAGGGGCACAGGATCCTTGTGAAAGTGGAAAAAATGCAAATTAAACACCACTTTTTTTTTTACCCAAGAGAACACCTCTCTAGGAATCTCTAACGGTCCTCCAGTGTGACCTTTGGCAGAAATTGACAAGGTCATGCTGGAGAACCTAGAGATACCTAGAGAGAATGTATTAATCAAATCCGTGAATAATCAAATCCACAAATGTGGAGAGCCAAAATTCCAAAAGGCACCCCTTAATTTCGCCATTTTATATAAGAGACACCATTTTACTATACCATTGTGTTTAATGGGACTTGAGCATCCACAGAGGATCCTGGAATCAAATCTCAGTGGATATCAAGGGCCCACTGTACAAATTTTTCACAAGCCATTTTTACACACTCTTCCCTCCATTGGCAAAACCAAACTACTGTAATCTGCTTCAGATAAGTCTGAGTGAAGCTGTTTGGTTTGGTTTTTCTTCTCCATGCAAGGCATGATCTTGCCATTTTCCCATCCCAGAAGAGATGGGCCTCCTTAAACTTGCTGGGGCACGCCTCCTCCCACATATCTCCTGGGGTTTAAAATAAACTAGAACAAAGTCCCAAGTTCAACACTATGCTTTGACTTGCTCTCTTCCAGACATAATCAACAGAGGTTTTCTTTTCAGTGAGGGTGCGGCCATGACTCTTATTTATGTTTTCATCCCACCCTTTCCCAAAAGAGACCAGTTTGATAAGAAGAGACTGTGTGTTCCTTTCCTTAAGTGCAAATGGAAGCTAGCCAAACTGCTAAATGAAAAGGGAATTCCTTGTCCTAAAGTCTGCATAGTGCCTGTTTTTTGTCTGCAATAGTAATGCTGGCTTGCCTAGAATGATCCTTAGGTCATGGATGGTACAGCTTTTTTCTGCCTAGGGAATCAAATTCCAATGTGAGAGAAGGTTGGCAAGGGAAAGTGTAGCAACGCCTTAATTTCTGGCGTATAAGACTACTTTTTAGCCCTGGAAAATCTTCTCCAAGGTTGGGGGTCGTCTTATACGCCAGGTGGAGGAGGAGGGGGAAGAAGGGGTGGAACGGCAGGAGGCAGGAGGAGGAAGTAGAGAGGAAGTCAGGTTAGAGGAGGAGGAGGAGGGGGGAGGAAGGGGTGGCGTGGTGTGGCATGAGGCAGGAGGAGGAAGCAGCAGCGAATAAGAAGTGAACCCCTATCCTAGGGTTTTCTTGGCAAGACTGGTTCAGAAGATGTTTGCCATTGCCTTTCCCTGAGGCTGAGTGTGTGTGACTTGTCCAAGTTCAC